TATTCATGAGAGACACAGAGAGAGGTAGAAACATAGGCAGAGGGAGAAGCAGGCTCCATGCAGGGAGCCTGATGTGGGATTCAATCCCTGGTCTCTAGGACCAGGCTCTGGGCTGAAGGCAGTGCTAAACTGCTAAGCCACCCGGGCTGCCCTTATTTTCTTTTTAATTTGTGTAACCTGTAGCACATGAGGAAGAAGAGAGTTATGTTTGTAATTACATACTAAATTTGTTGTTGTGTATTCACACATTCAGTCCCTAAATATTTTGAACCTTCTTCAGTGTCAGGAGTTAGAACAAACTGTGAGATGGAAGACTACATGCAGAAGAGTAGCTGGTGAGCCACATGTGCTGCAAAAATTAACTATTTGATTCACATAATGCTTAAACATTTTTTAATTAGTTTCCAACTTTTAAGAATTGGGAAATTTGCAAGAAAATCTGTATTTCCCCTTCTCTTAGAATGTTGGAAAATTGGACCCCCTGGCCACACCGGCCATTCCCAGGAGTTGCCCGTCCAGAGAGGGCATGCCCCTTCCACTTCTGTACTCCACAACAAGTCCTTGACTCCTCCTGGATACCAAAAGCAGACCACAGGTGCCATTTGTCACCACACTTATGCTTGTTGCTTTTCTTGTATAGAGAAATACTTCTCTGAATATAAACTTCTCCAAAGATCCCCCTGGTTTCTGCTGGCATTTACGACCACTGATACATAGTAGGGAACATGACATGGTGGATGCCATCATGCCTCAGAATTCATGTATACCTTGTTATCCAAAGGAAATGGAAAATAAGGTCTTTTTATTATGCTGCTATCCCTGCCCTGTCCCTCTGTCCTTTCTTGCCACACAGGACACACTCAAAGACTGAGGTCATTGCTTCTCAGGGAAGGGGGGTGTTAACAAATTGCAGAGAGAACTGTACATGTAGAGGGTGATACGTTTTTCCTCCCTTTCATTCTGTTACTCTAGGCAGTTCTTTCTCTTGGAAAGTCCTAGAAGGATATCGCTATCAAAATTTTATTTAGTTTTCTTATTGAGAAAGTGAAAAATTAGCATTTTGTGATTATTGATGATCTCACAAAATTTTAGCAATAAATAATTTTTTAACTTTTTATACTCTGTAGTTATGTTGAAACTGTCATTTGAAGCCATTCAAGTGAGTTTTCAGTAACACTTTTTTTCTTTTAACTAAATGGGCTAAAGAATAAAATGACCATTGTTTCTCATTCCAGATTATGTACAAGATAATTGAAATGTCTGCTATAAAAACTGGAGTCTTCAATACACTGATAAGTTATTGCTGCAAATCTTGGATAGTTTCTGTTTCAGATGTGCCCCAAGTATCTTTATCATGTGCTAAAAATTATAGTGAACTTGTCCTGGAGGCTTGTATATTTGGAACTGTGTTTAGGCGTGATCAAAGGTAAAAGATGCCATTATTTTAACCTTCATAATTCATACTGAATACCTACTGGAATAGAATTAGATCTTTCTTTTGAGGCTTTCAATTAGAAAAATATAAAGCATTAATTAAATTTGGCATTTTAATTTTTTTGTATCTAAAACCTTCTTTGTCAAATATTTTTTATGTGAAGACTTATTCAGGATGTACAGACCTACATAGAAAATCTTGGACACGATTGTGCAGCAAACATGGTTATTGAAAAGTAAGTATGGTGAATTTTCCATATCTAAATATAAATGGAATATTCAAAATTTAACATCAGATGAGAGACATCCTGTATTTGTTAAATATAATAAATGTTTACTAGTAATCTCTACAAAATACTGAAAGAGCCATCAAAAGCATGTTAGAAATCATTTTCCCTTGCTAATATATCAGACCTAAAATTCTTTGCTAAAATTTGATAAGCTTAAAAAATTCTTTAAAGATGAAGAAAAAGTAAGAAGAAATTCTAACATAACATGAGATTTTTTTTTACAATGTTACTACATTGTTGATGGGAATAAATGAATATTTTCTTGGGGAAAAAATTTGGTGCAAGGTCCAGTATAAATAAGAAAATGAGGGATCCCTGGGTGGCGCAGCGGTTTGGCGCCTGCCTTTGGCTCAGGGCGCGATCCTGGAGACCTGGGATCGAATCCCATGTCGGGCTCCCGGTGCACGGAGCCTGCTTCTCCCTCTGCCTGTGTCTCTACGCCTCTCTCTCTCTGTGACTATCATAAATAAATAAAAAATTTTAAAAAATAAAAAAAAATTAAAAAAAATAAGAAAATGAGATGGGGAACATAAAACCCCTATTCTTCTCCTTCTTTTAGGTGGAGGGGTGATCGTCAGCATACACACGTTATTCTTTTTGGGGGGAAGAAAGGGGTCATAGTTCATCATTTAACATGTCAGTCTCCCACCCACAAAAATAAAATTATGCCTAACATGCTTTTAAAGGCTTTTTTTTAACATCTTATGTTAAAGTTTTGATTTCTAGAATAAGACTTTTCTTATCTAACTTCTAAATTTTTTGGAACTTGTCATGTGGCTATTTTTCATTTTATTATTTCACATAATTTTCAAAAATGTGTTTAGATGTTTTAAAAATGATAATTATATATATGTATCACAAAGTATTAATTAAAGTGACACTTATTCACATTATAGCAGCTGCTGTGAATTTTGGAAATGCCTATAAACAGTTTCACTTAATTGATCTTCCCACATTTGGATACAGAAAGTACTGGGATGCTCAGAGCATGCAGTGCTCCCGAGTTCCCAGCACTTGGAGAAGGTGCATATACCGTGCACAGTAAATATGAGTCATCAGGTGTTTGATGTGTGTGTTCAGCCCCTGAGCAAACAGGCATCCATGGTTTTCTGCAAGGAACTATCTCATGAGCTATGATCTGTTTTGTCTACAGAGAAGATCTCATTGACCCAGAATGGGTAGTGTGTGTACTGTTTTGCCAGAATTCTGGGGGAATATGTGCTCAGACTCTGTACAGGCTCTCTTTTTGAGATATTTATTTGTTATCTTCCATTATCCTGAATTGAAAAAGCATTGTCATTAAGTATGGAGCTACTTAAATTTAGAAATCCTTGGAAGATTTTGATATTTTGAAATGAATGCTTGACATATTTTTCTGTTGTGAAAATGTATTAACATAGTTTGTCATTTTACATTTTTTTAGTACTAAAAGAGAAGACCACTATGTGAGAATTTGTGCTGTCAAATTCCTGTGTTTGTTACATGGCTCAAATGTATCTCATAAGTTGTTTATGGAAGATCTTGCAATCAAGCTATTAGATAAAGTAAATATACTATATTTACTTTGTTTTTGTTTCTGTGCAGTTAACAAGTCAAAATCAAACATTTGCCCTGTATGTTGACACACTATGTATTCTAAACCTTTTTTATCAGAAAAAAACTTGAGGCTTATGTTCCCTAGTTTTAGTTAACTCTTGGTTAGTGATTGTCCAACCCAAATATTTGGTTTTCCCTGTACTGTCTAAACTTTGCTCAGTGTATTTGCTAGTCAGAAACAGTTAGGTTTAGAGTGATATATCCATATATTGTTTCGTGTAAGAAATGGGATAAAAAGGTAAAAAATTTAGCAAGTGGCATAATGTGAAGAATTTTTTTTTTCATCTGCAAAATCATTTATAAATCTGGGGAGAAGATAGGACGGATTAAGTCACAATGCTCTCTTCTGAATTTGAAGCTGCACCAGACAGAGTCCTGGTCTGCTTTGTCACCTCTGGGCTACACTGAGACGTAACTGATGACCGTAGCCCCCACTTAATCCACTTGTGTTGAAATCATGCATTCTTCATGCATTTATTTTCTTAAGGCAACTGATAAGCTTCAGTTATACACAGTCTGAGAAGTATTTTTTTTGATTTAAAAATCCTCCCTTTGCACCATTGGAGTCAAGGGAGACGTCTCAGAGGAAATAGTGTTTTACTAATTCCCTATAGTATGAGTAGACTTTAAGGTAGCAGAATAGTCCCATCATCTAGAACACAAAGATGTATTATAGTGAATATTGATGCACAATACAAAAATAGAAGGGTGTTTTGAGGCAAAGTAAAGCACAATAAGGAAGAGGGATAGCTATTTAGAGCGTCATAAAGGGCTGCTCTGATGGATGCCATTGGCGGAACTCTGTGCAAGGTTGGGGAATGCCTGGAAGGGCTGGTGTCCCCAGGCAAATGAAGGAAGTGCTGCTGGAGGCGTGGAGGGACATGAGGCTGCCCATTGGCTGTTAGATTCAGCACAAAGGCTGTCATTAGTCACCTCTACAAAGACCTTTTCCTGGGATGGTGAAAATGAGAACCTCATGGTTGGGGAGCCAGTGGAGACGGTGAGTATAGGGACTCTTGAGTTTGCTCTGAGAGAGGAGGAGTGGCTGGGATGATGTCTGGTTGGAGATGTGGTTTAAGGGCTCCTTTGTATGTTGAAAGAGTTGATCCAACAGAGAGGAGAAATGATAGCTATGGAGAGGCTGGAAGTGGACACACAGGTGAAACCCTTGAGTTGCCACTTTACAACCACTAGGAGGATGGCTGTTATAACAGCCTGAAAATCACTAGCACTGGTGAATCTTGAAATCATCATGCTAGGTGAGAAGAAGCCTGTCAGAAAGGGCCACACACTGTGAGATTTATAGGAAGTGTCAGGATAGGCAAATCTGCAGAGATAGAATAGATTAGTGGCTGCTGGGCCAGGGGGCGGGGGCAAGGAGAGATTGGGAAGCGATGGCGCAGGATTCCTTTTCAGAATAATGAGAATGATCTGGAATAGAGAGTGGTGATGCTTGCACAGCTCTATGAATATACCCAAACTCACTGAATTGGACACTTTAAATTGGTGATTTTTATGATTTGTGAATTATATATTTTTTAAAAATCCTTGAATAATCTAGATTGGCTCTAATGTCCATTAGAAGGATCAGCTTTATTTAGGAGATGGAAAAGCAAAGACAGAAAATTTATTTATTTATTTTTTTAAAGATTTATTTATTTATTTATTCATAGAGACACACACGGGGCGGGGGGGGGGGGGGATGCAGAAACACAGGCAGAGGGAGAAGCAGGCTCCATGCAGAGAGCCCGACATGGGACTTGATCCTGGGTCTCCAGGATCACACCCTGGGCTGCAGGTGGCACTAAACCGCTGCGCCACTGGGACTGCCCAGAAAATTTATATATTAGACACTGGCTCATGCCAAATTGTTTTTTGAAGATGACGAAAATGAACAGAGCAACTAATAAATGAAAAGGTAATTTGAAAATAAAGAAAAATGAAAGAATAATCCTAGAGAAAGTAGAAAAAGATTGTATCCAGGGCGGAGTGGGCCTTCTAAGTGTGGTCAGGAGTGATCGCCCTCTGAGCTGGAGAAAGGAGCAGGGCAGGGTTGAAGGAGGGCACGCCTGGGACACTTGTGTTCTCAGCCAGGAAGCAGGTTGTTTCTAAAGAGAAGAGGCAGAAACACGGTTAGTGTTTGAAAACCAAGGTGAAGGTTGAAGTTCTATCAGTGTCCTCAGTTAGAATTAATACCTGGTAATGCTTAAAGCAGGCCTTTCCATCCAGAGTGCAGAGAGCACAGAGGGTGGGGACTATGCACTGCTGTGTCACTGCTTCCATGCTGTTTGTCTAATGTGTCACTTTAGAGGTTCAGTTTCAAGTACACGGAGGGACAGAGTGAATCAGGAGGACTTGGAGGTGGAGAGGGAGGTGGTGGAGGTGGAGGAGGAGTAGGAGGTGGAAGAAGAGGTGGAAGGGTGGATGTGGAGGAGGAGGAAGGGCTGAGGTAGAGGAGGAGGAGAAGGTGGAGTAGGAGATGGTGGAGGAAGTGGAACTGGTGAATGGTGGTGGAGGGAAGAGGAGGAGATGAAGCTGGTGGGTGGTGATGTGATGGTGGAGGAGGAGGTGGAGGGAGGAGGAGGAGGAGGAGGAGGTTGTGGCAAGCTGGGGAGTACTTCAAGGCCCACCTGGCACCCCAGGGGGCATTCACAGAGCCTTAGCAGCCTGGCTCTGGGCGCATGGCGGCCTGGCCACCCAGCAGGCCAGCAGTTATTGAGCTCCCCACCTTTGTGGTCCTCCCCACTCTCCATTCTCTTAAGTTTTACCAAGGCAAATGTGGTTAGTTTTCTGCTTAGTTTTTACTGAAAACTTGCTGATATTTTATAAAAAGTAGCTTTAAAAGTGGTCCATTCCTGGCTAGCCTCAGCAGCTACCATCAATGGACAGTCTTGTTGGGTGTACCTCTGATACTCCCCCCCAACACATGTTATTTTGAAGCCAATCCCGACATCAGTTTCATCCATAAACATTTCAATATGCATCTCAGGAAGATAAGAATTGTTTTTGTTAGTCATAACTACAAGACCATTTTCACACCTAAATTCATAATTCCTTTGTATTATCGAATATCCATCAGTGTTTAAATTTACCATTGCTTTACATTTTTTTCAGTTTCTTTGCTTGAAATATGACCCAAATAAGGTCCATACCCTGCCATTGGTTAGTTGAAATGTCTCTAATGCCTCTTAATCTATAGACTTGTCTCATTCACTTTAAACTTGAAAATGTATTTTTCGGAGAAACCAGATTGTTTTCATCTTAGGGACTTTCACAGTCTGAATTTTGCTGTTTGAATTTCCATGATGCCCTTTATGTTTCTCTGGCCCCTGATTTTATACAAGACAGTATCGAGATCAAGAGTCTTGATCAAATTTAAGTTTGATTTTCCTTTTTGGGGGTAAATATAGGACAAGAGTATCCATCCATCCGGAAGTATAGAATATTCACCTGTTTCTCCTTTCAGGGTGTTAGCTACTGATGAATTCCCTCGTTCTGTGAATTCTTCAGGAGCAGCAGGATGGTGATACTCTAATTCTCTTATTCCTTTTTGATTTATTAGCTGAAGTTCATTGTATCCAAATATGAAGTATCTAGATACCTGGGATATATTTCCTGTAGGAAAGACAGGATACGTGCTTGCCTTATTTCTGTTATTTATCAGTTTTCAAAATAACAGATTTGCTTCCTAGTGTCTTTTAGTTTCTTCTAAGATGATGAGTTGTTTTTGTTTTTCTTTATTTGTAGCTTAAACATATTGATGTGTTTCAGTCCATTATAGTTACTATTAGTGTTTGAATTATTCCAATTTTGGTCAGGTGAAAGAGAAAACCTGAGAACATAGTGTTGGATGTATTAAATTTGAATTGCTATTGTGCATCCATGTGAAATTACCCAATAATAGGCAGGTGGGAATATGTTGTGTAGGAAAGAAATGGGAGTCCCCAGACCCAGCGATGAATGTGAAGACCGTAGAGAGAGGCCAAGAATGGAGAATTAGGAAACACCAACATTTGAAGTGTATTCATAGGAAAAGGAACCAGAGAAAGATCATGAGAAAGAGGTCAGAGAAGTGAGGATAGAACCAGAATTGAATGGTGGTCTGGTGTTGCTCGTGGCCTTAACTTATCTGGTTGGAGATTCTTGTCTGTCGAAAATCTGGCATAGGAACCTCCATGAATTTGTCCATGATGATAAAGTTTAAACTCAGAGCCTGTTCTGTCCCACCACAAACTGTGTCTAGGTGGCCGTCACTGGGGGAACCACTGTCACCGAGAGCAGGTTAGGCACTGGGGACAGAAGCTCGGGGGATTTCTGGGTTTTCAGAAGCACGTGGGGGTATGGCCATTTGGCAGTAGGTGAAGGGACAGCAAACATGCAAGGCAAGATTTGTACTTTTAAAAAGTCGATTTGAAGAACCTCTGAAAGGAACATAAGGACTTTTCTTCCTCCAATACGAGAAGGTAGAGGTTGAAGACAAAGTCAATCAGGAAGGCTGAAGGAAGATTGTTGAGGTAGGAAGGACCGTATAGCCAGTGTAAGAAACTGGACTGGGTTAAAGCCCGTGATGAAGGTGGTAAAGATTTCAGATTCTCCTTGTGGACATGGGAATGAGAAGAGACCTGAGAAGAGCAAAATGACTGTCTGGCACTGTCATTTGTTTGTTCTTAATTTGAATGTAGTAGACATGCACGTTAGGTTGGTTCAAGGTGATCTGACAAGTCTTCACGTTATGCTGGGCTCAGGACAGTGTAGCTGCCATCTGTCCTGTTATGACACTGGCACAGTATCACTGACTGTTCCTTATGTTCTGCTTTTTATCCCTGTGACTTATTCATTCCCTAACTGGAGGCTTGGACCATCCCCTGCCCCCTTCACCCGGTCTACCTGGCACCCCATACCTCCCCTCTGCCATCAGCTTGCTCCCTGTTTTGTTGTTCTGGTTCTGCGATTGTTCATTCATTTTTTTTTTAAGATTCCATTTATGAATGCAATCTTATTCTTCTGTTCTCTGGACCAGCAGCTTCAATATCACCAGGGAATGTGTTAGAAATGCAGATTCCTGGGCCCCATCCCCATTCTCCTGAGTCACAGACTCTGGCAGTAGGGCTGGCAGTCCTCACGAGCCCTCAAGGTGATTCTGAGCCCTGCAGAATTGGAGACCAGCAGGCTAATGGTGCTGAGGGTCCAGCCAAAGTTAGAATCCGTACTTTTAATCAAGTCAGGAAGGGCAGGTGATTTTTTTTCTTCTTCAGCAATCCTGACAACTGGAAAGTAGGATCAGATTATTTAAGACCACTGGGTTGATTCAAAAGAAGAGGACTCGCAAATAGGTTTGAGGTTGTTGTGAGAAGAATGGAATGTACTCTTGAAGATACTGCAGAAATTATTCTTGGGGCTCAGATGAGGTCAGGAGGTGTGTGAAGCTAGAGAGGTTGGTAGAGAAAAGAACGATCTTTCTGAATATAAAAGAGCATGGTGAGTAGAACAAGTAAAAGGACAGAGGGTTTTGAGCTGAACTGAGTGAGAGCAGCGACTCCAGTGGGACCTTGATGGCAGGTATGCTGGGTTGCAGATGCTCCCAGAGGCTTGTGTGAACTGCCCCAGTGGTGATTCCATTCTCAGCTGCATCAAGGCTGGGCAGTATGTGAAACGTGAAACACTTCTACCAAAAGAAAATGTTCCCCAAGAAATAATGGAGAGAGAGGAGATTTTAATCATGGTTAGGAATCATTAAAATCTGCATTAACTTAGCTATTGTTATAAAATTTTATACACACTGAGATGCATAGAATGGGATCACACCAGAAGAAAGATCGCAGAATTTACCAAGTAATGAGGATTGTCTACATTAGGGGACGGTGGTTTCAGAGATGGTGGATGGCCTATGTTTTCATCTTTAGGACACCTGCGATCATAACTTAGCAGCTAAGCACTTATAGAACACAAGTCAGCCTGGCAGTTGGCTGAATATAGACAGCACAAACTGTCACAGCAAGAACATCAGAGAGAGAACTCTGGAGAAGGCTCTGTGCTGCCTTTCTCTGGTGTCTGGTGAAAGGTATTGATCACACTGTCCATTTACTGCACTCCTGCTCTCGTGGGGTTCACATCCTACTGCAGACCTCATTACTGCCATCTTGCACGGGACAAAGGGGTATAGCAAATGAGAGGTGCCTATTTTGATGCATCACAAAATATGTAACATTTCTTGTCTCTCCCCACCCCAGTGACTCCATGTCTCCATCTTAAGTGGCCACAAAGATATAGATGGATATTTCCAAATACTTTTTGTACCGAATACAGTTTTATGGTTCCTGTTCTAATTTTAGAAGCAGATAAATTAAATGAAAGTAGCTAAATCCATTGTTTGAAAGGAAACTAAATGTGTATAAGAACATATCTTTCTGCCTTTGGGAGGATAGCAAGCTCCTGTACTCCACTTAAAGCTTTTAAAATTAAAGTTGTGATTGGTTTTGTTTGCATGGATCACAAGTTCAGTGGGTGATTTGGTACCGCTTCTCTCCTGCCCAGGATGACTTGGTGTCCAAGTGCAGGACTCGGTACTATGTGAACTCCCAGCAGCATCGGGTGAAGAACCGAATATGGCAGACGCTGCTGGTGCTTTTCCCCAGCTTTGATCAGGTATCATTCTTACTCTGCTGGTCCCTTCAAGCGTCATGTTTCCATATGGAACATACCAGTAGAAACTGTGATGGGCGGTCTTAAAATTGAGAAAGTCATCTGCTTAAAATTTATACTTTAGCTCTTAAGATTGAAGTTATTCAAGACTGGTTTCATGTCTGGTTTTTTTGTTTTGTTTTTAGAAAGAATCCTAAGGCAATTAGGTATTGTAGAGACAAATTGGAAACTGGTTTACAGGGCACCACTTAATAGTTTTTTCTTCTTTTTCTCGTTATTTTATGTCATAACATTTTAACTGTTTAATTCCTGGTGTGCCATTCAATTAGAAAGCATATACACACAAGCTTCTTGTTTCCCAGAGCTGCGTTATTTTGGAATACTCTTGTTTTGGATGAGATTGTCGTTTCCTGTAGCTGATTCTCCCTCCCCCCACTTAATTTCACGGGTACCGTGGTAATATAAACCACTAAGCTGAAACCGAGATCTTGATCTCTTACAACAGTCTTTGCCCAGAGTCCCCTTTTCTCTCCCCCAAGGAAGCAAGGAACAGATGAATTGACTCTGTCTGATTTCTCTAATCACATTAGTTTGATATTCCTGGTAAGAAAATAGATCATTATGTGAAAGTTATGGTATATTTCACATAATTTAAAAAAGCATTTTTTGCATTCTAAAGTTTCCCTCTGACTTCAGAGTTTCTTGTTGTCCTCCTCTTTTAAACTCTTTTAAATGTTTTGGAGAATTTTAAAAACCTATCAGACTCTTTTTTTAATTCAATTTTATGAAGCCATATATCTGTGAGAGAGAAACATTTCAGTAACCGTAAGTATGGAAGTATATCCAAATCAGTTGTTTGGATAAAGGTAAGAAGAGATGGCGAAGAGTTCTTTCTGAGGAGGAGCATTAGTGGATATATGGGGGCTGCTAATTTCATCACAGGCTTCTTCATGTTATTTGATTTTTAGAATCCTGTACATACTATATTTAAACTGTAAAATATTTTAGAAACGTTTGGCTAGGTTACTGAGAGTATTTTTTGTCTTGGAATGGAGAGGTGCCCAGGGAGAGACTCGTGCGGTGGGGGTGGGGGTGGGTCTGTCAGAGTAGGCGGGCTTGTCAGGAAGAGCAACACAAGTCCACATGATATGGAGCAGCCACGGCTGAGAATTTTAAATTTTTGTATTTTGTGGTTGCATTTAACCTTCATAACGGGCTTTCACGTCAGGTCATGAGTATTCCCATTTTGTACACGGCGGGGCACTGCCGCACAGGGAGTGGTGGGGGCCCTGCTTGTAACATAACCTGGCTGGTGAATGGTGGAGATGGAATTCAAAGCCAGGTGCTTTGGGGCCTTCACATGAGCTTTTCTGCTCCTCTTCTGCCAGTTAGAAATTTTTTTAAAGATAGATTGTTCTTTAAAATAAAGAAATATACATAGTAAATGTTTTTATATCTTATATAAGTAAATATATGTATATATTTTTACCTGCTACTTGGACATATTCAGTTACCAGATGGAAGTTCCAATTTTGAGGAGAAGCCTGGGGCGGGAGGGGATGATGTGGGAGCTCCATGTCTTGGCCAGAACTGGGCAGGCGACAGAAAGTCGGAAAAGAGAAGCGAGGGGCCCCAGGCCTGCTTCTCCAGGGTCTCATTTACCTCCATAGACTTAGGCATTAGTCATTCTTGTTAAAGGTTTAGGCCCGTGACATTTTGGCACATGCTGGTTTGAATCTGAATTCTGCCACCTACTAGGTTTTGAGGAAAACACTTAACTTTTCTGAATTTCTCCCCTGTAAAAATATAGAGTAATAATCTTCCTCACAGAACTGATGTCCAAGTGTAAAGTACTCAGTAAAAGTACTTCATCATTATATTCCCGTAAACAGATTTTAGGGTTGATATTTACAGAGAGTTGTAGATCTGATAATTTACTTAAACGAAAACTTTAAGCTGTTCTGGGGCCCCTG